AGGAAGGAAGGAAGGAAGGAAGGAAGGAAGGAAGGAAGGAAGGAAGGAAGGACACATAGGAGGATAATGAGCCTGCTCAGTTGGTAAAGGACCCCGTTGCCAAGCCCTAGGACCTGAGTTTGATTCCCCGGACCCTCATGATAGGAGAGAATTAACTTCTTCAAATTGCCCTATGACCTCCACATATGCAATGTGTGCCACGTGCTCCCACATACAATAAACCAGATGCAATTTTAAATAAGAACACATAAGTCAACACAGATAACAGACACCTGGTAGAAACTCCAAAGCCAGCAAAAGACATTGAGTGGCAAGGTCTTGCTGTGTGGCCACACTGGACCTCATACCCCTGCCCCCTTCTCCAGATCTGCCTCCCTCATGCCAGCACACCCAAAACAACAGGCATTTTCATCCTCCACGTGGAAAATGAAGCAAATCTTGTTTTAATTCTAATGTGTTGGGGTGCTTTGCCTGCCTATAGGTCTGCATACACATACGTGTTCGCTGCCCATGGATACCTTAAAACTGGAGTTACAGGAGGTTGTGAGCCGTCATATGAGTGTCAGGAATCGAACTGGGGTCCTCTACAAAAGTGACCAGTGCTCTTAGCCACTGAGCCATCTCCCCAGCCCCCTGACCATTTTAAAGTAGAAACACAAGAAGGTTCCCAGGTTAGCCCTGCGCTGGGGAGAAGGCAGTGAGGCGATGCCGCGAACAGACATAGAACGCAGACGAGGGGACAGGCAGAGAAGGCTGGAAGGGAGCGAGGCAGGCGCAGGGCCGTGCAGATGGCCCGTGGATGTGACACTCACGGGGCTTCACCTCAGAATGCCTGGCTCATCAGGCATGGAGCAGCCACCACCAAATACAGACCTGCTGCCGCGCTCCCGGTGGCTGCAACCACGCCCACGCTTTCCCCAGGGTCGGTCTGAGAGGGTGGGACGCTGTGGTCCGTCTCCCAGAGGACACAGCGTGTCAAAAGTGGCTGGTATGGTGTGGGGTATGGTACAATATCTGTGTGGTGGGTGTGTGTGTGTGTGTGTGTGTGTGTGTGTGTGTGTGTGTGCGTGCGCGCGCGCACGCTTGCAGGAATCAGTTTTCTTTTTACTATGTGAGTTCTGAGGATTGAACTCTTGTTGTGCTTGACTGCAGACCCCCTCACCCACTGAGCCATCCCACAGTCCTCGGGAGGAACCCGAGCAAACATGTGCCCCAGCCCAGGGGAGTAGAGGGGCCGGGCAGCCCCTCACCCTGTGCCCATCGGCATAGCTGGGGGATTCCCCCTAAGCCAACCGTGCTCTGTGCTCAGCGGAGCCTGCTGACGGTGCAGACAGCGCCGTGCGTGCCTTTGGCTGGGGGGAGGCGCAGAGCTGCTCTCGCCCACAGCCTCACACCGCGGCCTTTCACAATCCTTCCGGCCAGGGTCAGAAGGCCCCGAGAGCAGCGGTTCTCCACCGTCCCCAGGCTGCCACCCTTTTCACGGCTGCCCGCATTGTGGTGACCCCAGCCGTACAATATTTCCGCTGCTACTTCACAGCTGCAGCGCTGCGGCTGTTGTGAGTGGTAATGTAAATGTCTGTGCAGGATGGTCTTGGGCGACCCCTGTGAAAGGGTCGTCCGGCCCCCGGCCCGCAGGTTAAGAACCTCTGCTCTAGGATAAAGTTGCCCCAGGGCCGCCGCCTCTAGAGGTCCCACAGCTTGAACAAGTACTTTCTTGCAGCACCTCTGGCTTCAGAGGCAGCTCTCTGTGGCTCAGTGGGAGGCTGTAAATCTCTTGCAGAGCCAGGTTCGGCTTGGGGAGCAGGCCCCCCCCCCGGGGGGGTGGGCAGGAGCAACCGGGTTGAAGAACTGCCAACCACGGAAGAAGGGGGCTGGGGGGGGGGGGGCTGGCACATGGGGCCAGAGGTGGAGCTGAGGTTTCCCATCAAGTGGTCCCGGCCTCCCTTCTGCCCCACCCCAGAAGAAGGGAGATGGGACTGAGAACAAGGTGGGCAGCGACCTCTGCCGCTCTGAGCACCTGCGCCGGAGTGACAGTCGCTCCACATCGTGTTACACCCGTGCCTCTTACACAGACAGACAAATAAATGGAAAAAGGAAACTCCTGCTAGTCAAGTTATAGAGAAATAAGTGGTTGACTCAGCATGCAACGTTGGAAGGTCAACCACACAGTGTTGTCAAAAGCTTAGTTCTGAGCTGCATTACCTGATGGCACTGTCAGAGCATCGCCAAGGCCACTGCTTTTCAACCCAGGAACAGGCAGACGAGCGGGACAGCCCTGAGTCCTTCTCAGGAACGGTCAAGGAAACCATGAGAAGCGTTGGTCAGCTTGGCCTCAGGGACAAGGCTCTCCTGTGAGGTCCCACCTCCCAAAGGTGCTGCTGTCCACCAGCAGCAACAGCGAGACTTTGGCCTTAAGAGACCCTTGAGGGAGGGACCCGAGACCATATTAAAACTTGGGCATATAATTTTAATCAAATTTATTCTTAAATAAGTTTTGATGCTGCTGTTTCAAAATGAACTTTTGAATCCTCTCTTCCGGTTTTCCATTGCACGTTTGCACGCGTGTGTATTAGTTAGTCATTGCTGCATAACAAAGAGCCCTAAAAAATTAGTAGTTTAACACGTTCCTAGGCATTTAGCCTCTCATGGATTTTGTGGGCGCTCAGATAGGTTCAGTTAGGACAGCGTGTCCAGGCCTTGGCCGGAAGACACAGAGACTGGGGCCCTGACATACTGGAGGTCAGGTGGCTTAACTGAAGCTTGGGGCTTCCCAAGGGAACTCACAGGGCTGGCAGGGTAGCTGGCACTCTTTCCTCTCCACGCCAGGCTCTCCTCGGGAGTGACTAAGTGTCTCCACGATGGGGTGTTTGGTGTCTGCTAAACCAAGGGCCGCAGGAGACAGAGCCAGTCTGCCTATTGTGACCTGACTCAGAGGTCACATGTGGCCACTTCTGCCACATTCTATTTATTAGAAGTGAGGGATTGTGACAAGCTCACACGAAAGCCAAAGAACAGAGACCTGAAAGTGTCAAAATATCCGTGGAAAACTCTAGGCCACCGCTGTATCCTGCATTCGGGTGGCCAAGGTGAGGGCTGTGAGTTCGAGACCAGCCTGGGCTACATAGTGAGAAGGCCTCAAAAACCAAAAGCAGAGAAAGCACCATGTAGATAGTGATTCATTGTATTCTACTTTACTTTACTATTTTTGAGGCAGGGTTCACGATGTAGCCCTGGCTAGCCTGACACTTACTATGTAGACCAGGCTGGCCTCAGACTCACAGATGTGCAGAGCGCTGGAATTGAAAGTTCTGCACCACCACGGTGTGTGCCGCCTGGCCTCCAATGATATTTGCCAGTGTTCTTTGCTTCCCTGAGACCTCTCTCTGTTTATGTGTTGCACACATAGGAGTTCTCATGCTTCACGTATGTGTGGAGAACACCTGGAAGGAACCAGGCTCTCTGTGTCACATGGGTCCGGGGATAGGGTCTTCAGGCTTGGTGGCAAGGACCTTTACCTACAAAAACAGCTCTGAGACCCTCGAGTCTGCGTCTCGCCAGTGCGACACTTCTCTAACTTACTCCTTTAGTCGGTTTATACACGGGAGACTGTCATCTCGGAATGAAACCGTACTCCTTCCTTCCCCTGTACACCTTGATGGCTTCCTCTCTCACGTGGCTACCAGAAAAGATCTAGGCTGTG